GCCAGGCAGTTCTATAGCTGTAGGATATCAGACTCTGGCTTTTATTTAGGTACTGGAAAAACAAAGACTGTGAAAAAACAGGCAAGCCAACAAGACTGGAAAAAGCAGAGGATGGAGCAATTCAAAATTCATTGACCTATTTAACTTCTCCATCTGCCATGGCTTCTAATCTGGACAGCCCAATGGGAAATGCACCAGGAAAATGTAATTACTATGGATTATTGTATGTACCAGAAAAAAACAATGTCTGCAGTCAGCGTTCCCAAGCTTCAATATTTTCCTCTAACTTGTACAATATGGAATGAAACTATCATCTTTTGAAATAGTAAAATAGGGAAACCCACTTCCCTCCCAAAATTTTTCAGCCAGGATGCAGGATTTCCCAACACTCTACTGCATGGAAAACTACCCGTCTCCTGTGACCAAACTGTTCTTGTATTTGCATGTTGCTCCTCCAGGAGTTGGATTTTTCTCCTTGTCCCACCTCACTGCAGGCACAGCCCCATGTCTTTTTATGTGTAGTTGCTCATACTACAAAACACATCTTTCTACAAAGGGCAGGCTGTGTTTGCATTATTGTTGTTTGCATTTCACTTAGTGGTTCAGATTGATCTATAGCATAAAGCAAAATGCACACGGATTCCTGTCTCAGAGCACTTCTGTTCAATGTAAATAACATGTTGTTAGGTAAGTGCCTAAAGGCTTAAATATCCAACCCCTTAATCATAAGAGCATTCATATTATCATTAGCACTCAAAACATTATTATTTTTCTTTGTTGTAAAATGCCAACCCTCAGGAACACAGGGGTTTCCAATTGTAAGTTTTTTCAAGGTGGATCATCTGACCTTTTTTTAAAGTTCATTCATGATTAAACATAGTATATAAATTATTTTGGATCCTAATATTTCAGTGTTTACTATCAGTTTTTTATGGTAGCTGTCAAGAACAATGGAGCATGTAATGGTATAAAGAAATTTTTCTGGAGATTGCAACAAAAGGTTGATCAAATTCCAGTGTTTCATAGAAGTTATTCTGCCTTGACAGGCAACTAATAACTCCAACACAGAACACACTGGAGTATTGCCCCTTGAAATTCATTTGTGGTGGCTGTATGGCAACGACACAATGTATGGCAATTCCAGGTGAGCCCTGTATGTCTCACATGAAAGGCAACGCTGCAGATCTGTGGCATACATAGCTCATTGCTTCCTAGTCCTATTAAAACAACTGTACATTTTAATGCATCTGCTTGCCTGCATTAATTATTTAAAAAGGATAATGTTTTGGAGCCAGTAAACTGACAAGACTGTTTAAGTCAGGAAGCACCAGAAACAAGATATTCAAAGTCAGAGGATGGCCTCCTTATTCATCTCCACTAGTAACAACATTTTCTTACCTCATCATGGAATACTGTTTAAATTATTATATGTACATATACAGAATTTCCTTACCAGTGTTTTACCCCCATTCCTACCATGAATGCCTAGTGATTTAGAAAAATGTATCCATGAGGTAGAAGTCAGTCATCATCTACTGTTTTACAGCCAGAACTGGGGCACCAGAAAACAAATGTCAAAGCTGTGTTGGTCCAGTTTGGGATACCTTATGTTTGGGTTTTATTTTTCAGAATATTAAGTAGCACACCATTTTCAGTATTAAAACACAGTTCTCCTTGTCCTGAACACAAATTAGACATCAGCAAAGTTCAACTGATTACTGAAGCTGGACCCTCAGACACACACAGCTGATAGGTCAGCTATAAAAAGCCTGACTTCCACTAATGTCAAAAACTATGACCTCAGGCAAGATTAAATTCAATTTTCCCAGGAGCACTCATCTCTTGAAGTCCAACATTCTTATTCCTTCAGTTCCTGACTACTAATAAAAGACACCAAATGTGAAAACAATCTTTGTACACATTACTAAGCTTTAGTCACTGGACAAAAAGATCCTCCTTGCCTAATCATCTGCAGTTGGAATATACTTTGTAGCTGGAGAGATAATAACATATCTTACATGCCTTACCTTCTGGCAACCAAATAAATGGACTGTGACTTGTATGGGACAACCTTCACTGTACATTTCCATCATCACTTTGGATCTCTGATTCACTGATTGGTAGGTTTAAAAAAAAATACAAAAGACCTGATGCCTGATCTATTTAACTGCTGTTTTCATTGGATCATTCTGGAAAAACTCAAAGATGTTCAATGGTCATTTTCATTAGAAACTCGTATCCCTAGCTGGAAATAATCATAGCATATTAAAACCAACAGTGAAGAAGTGAAAGAAAATGTAAGAGAATTATATTAAGAAGAGGAATGCAAAGGGAGAGAAAACCCTAGTAGTTCTGTGATGTCCAAACTGAGGGCTGGGTTCCCGCATCTTGTGGTTAGTGGTCAAGGTCCCAGAGAAATGGGCCATTTCTAACATCTCTCCCTGAACAGCTTCTCTGTTACCAAGTTGAGTCTGAGCATGTTTACTTCTGTTAGGAAATTTACGAGGGTTTACTTTATATATTGCTCCTCTAATTCTCAAAACTTACAGGAACTTTGTTTTGCTCAACATTTTTACAACCCAGTTAAATTTGTCTGAAATTGGCAAATGTGCTGGCCAACTGCTTGCATTTACAAGGCACAAACTGACAAGACAGTTTGACTGCACAAGCCTCATTTGCTTAGGAAATTATGCTAAACATGATAAATAGGTGTGTAGAAATGCCTGCCCATGAATTCCCTTTTGCAGCCTCCAAGAATTCTTCCCATGGTACAACATGGCTCAGAAAGCGCTCATCCCCCCCCATCTTTTCTGATTGTATCGGTAACTTACTCAGTGATTAGTAACATTCCTACCCTTGCAACTAATTTAATGTTTTTTAACATATTATAGTCTCTTTTAGATCCAAACCTTTCTATTTTGGGACTTCCAATTCAAATTTGCCTAATAGCTTCACATAATAGTCCCTTGCTCCCAATAAATTCCTTATTTTAACTCTAATTGGTTTGCTCATGAAGAATCACAATTTACATGAGCTGAAGAGGAGATATATCACTAGCTATTAGTGAATATAAGTAATATTTGATTAAGCAAAAGCAGATACTAATTTGCTTTTTTCTCAGCATTTGTTAATGATAAGGCCAATTTCTACGAGCAGATACAGTATATTTACAACATAATTGATTTAATGGGTTTGGAATAGGTACTAAATAATGATGCCAATTCATTGTCCTCGTAAATTTATGATACCTGTTCATCATAACGATAACCCAAAGTGAATACCATGATCCGATGAAGTTCCTGGTTAGGCAATTGCTCTCCAATGCAAAGTAAACAAAAACTAAAGGCGTAGACTGGTTTTTAGGACAGATAATGGAAGCAACAGGCTGCAACACAAGAAATTAAATAATGTGAGTAGCTGAAATACTGAAGTATAAATCCCAAGTGATTTCAAAGTCTCAGTCTAGAAGTAAAGGATTGTCTCATTCTGGTAAACTGAGCTAGTCTGAGGAGCCTGGTAATGCAAAAACGAGTTTCTGAAGGAGTCTCGAGAAGAAAGAAAACTGGAATTTCCTCCAGTAGTGAAGTCCTAGTAGGTTCCTTAGGATCTATTTTGAGAATGAAATAGATACTATATACTTGCATGAAGATGAGTCAATTTTAAACACTCATGGTTTTGGAAAAAAGCTTTTAAATGTAACTTCAAGAACTTCAGGAAGCTTCTTAAAGGCAAAGCTTCTTAAAAGCACTTACTGCCTGGCTGTCTAACTCTTAATTTTGAATCCTTAGTTCCTCAAACAGAAAGCAAGGCATTCCATTAAATTAGAAGACAACAAATATAAATTTGAAATACATTTAGATAGGAATCATACCAGCTTATGGTACGGGCTGCTATTAATTACTGGTATATGTTAAATATTTGAATAACAAATTTTTAAGCCTCTTTGATGTAGTTTTTCTTTTAAGGCCAGAACAGTATCTGTGAAAAACATAGATCAACGAGTTAAGATACATTTAGGAAAAATAATTTTGGGGTATGTCTTTTTTTTTTTTTTAAAGTATTGCTTATAGTTTAGCTGGAGTCGTGGGTGGGTGTTTCATGTTTTGTTTTTTTTTCTGCAATAAGATATACTCATAGGGAGAACTCTAGTTGTGCTAATTCTGCAAGCATGCTTTAAGACTTGTCTCACCTTTAATGCACGACAGCAGCATTGAGGAGCACTGCATTATCACAGACATAACCCTGGGCCTGAATTAAGATCCACCAAAGGTCTGAGCTCGGCTCTCGAAGAAGGAAAAGGCAAAGAGCAGCGAAGGCTGCCATAAGCAGTACCTCTCGGGTGCAGCTGGCACCCCGAAACAAAGTACAGCAAACGAGCTATGTAAAAAATACATTAATCTGCAGAAGAGTGTAAATAAATCAAGTCCTCGGTTATAAAACCAGGTTCTTTGACACTCTGCCTTCTCAGTACGAGATCCCTGAACCCCATGCTCTGGGCATCCCGCAGGCCCCGCTGCGCCGTGGGGGCAAGGACCCTCCGACTGCCTCAGGCCTTGGCAGCCCCCGCCCAGCAGCACCGCACCGGCCGCGCTCCTCATCCCACCCGGTGTCAGACGCCTCTGCTCTGACACCCCGGCCCCCTCATACCAGCCCCAGACCCCGACCCCCGGCTACGGTCTGGCTGGACCGGGAGTGCGGAGAGGGGCGGGCGGAGGGAAGCGAAGCGCCCGGCGGGCCGGACGGACGCGGCGGGCACCCAATGCGCTCAGACGCTGCCGCCCCGAAGGGAGGAGAGAGACCCGCAGTTGGGCCCAATGAGGCCGCGTCCGGAGCGGGACTTCCTTCGGGGATCCCGCGGCGGGGAGGTGAGGCGGGGCGGAGGTGACACGTAAGTGAGGGGCCGGGGAAGTTGCCTTTGTTCTTTTCAGGTGGCGGCGGCGCACCACCGGCCGGGCGAGTCCCGTCGGCGGGGCTAGGCTGAAGCCACTGCCTGAGGAGTGCAGAGAGCTGCCGCCACCGCAGCTCCCATCTCGCCGGCCGCAGTAGCCAGTGCCGCCTGTCGCCCCACCGCGGGAACCCAGGGGTCGGGACAGTTGGCCGGGGCCGCCCCCTCCAGCTGCCGGAGGGCCGGGCAGCCTCGCGGCCGCAGCATGCAGCTGGGGCGCCCGCCCCGTGCTGCGCAAAGTCCCGCAGGCTCAGCTCCGACACGCAGGGCCCGCACCCAGGGGGAAGCTGCACGGGGAGTCGCGGCCGCGGTGGCGCCGCCCAGGGACTGAGGCTCTCGGCCGGCCCCTCTTCCCTTCACTCCCTCCTTCTCCCGGCGCGGGCCCGGGGCCTCCGATGTCTCCGCCTCGTCGTACGCCGCCTCCAGCAGCCTGTTGCTAAGCCGTGAGGGGCGGGGACCCTCGGCCCCCCTCCGGGGACATGGGCAACGGGATGTGCTCCCGAAAACAGAAGCGGATTTTCCAGACCCTCCTGCTCTTGACTGTGGTGTTCGGTTTCCTCTACGGGGCGATGCTCTACTACGAGCTGCAGGGCCAGCTGAGGAAGGCTGAGGCCACGGCGCTCAAGTACCAGCAGCATCAAGAGTCCCTCTCAGCTCAGTTACAAGGTACTTACCTCGGCAGAAGCCTCTGCCTCCTTTTCCTAAGGCTTGTGGAATGCCCTCCTCCGGGGAGGTCTGGGCTCCAACTGTCTTACAACAAAGTTTTGCTCCTTAGGAGCTTCTTCTCCCGGTACAGACTGCAGGGTTTTGATATCTGTGGGTAGGATCCTACCCCTGCTGAAGTGGGAGTTTCTGTTAGGGACTCTTGGAGACCTCTTATTCTCCCTCACTCCCGCACATTTGCTTATTTCAAAAGGACTTCACATCATTTTGCAATTCCTGGTACAAAGGGAAAAGGCAGGCATACACTCATCTAACTGTAGAGACCACATCCAGTTATGGGACTTTGCATGCTTCTTGTTGTTTTATCGATATTAATTTTATACTGCTGGGACAACATAAAACAGCAAAAACCCTAAATAGCTCCAGAAGGGAGGAGAGGGATATTGTAATAAAGCCTTTTTTTAAAAGGATATTTTGAAAATAAAGTGCAAATAAGTTATTTAGATATGGCTGTTCTCTTGCATTTGGAACTCTGAATTTCTTGGCTTAAAGCTGCCCCATAAATACAAACTCTTGTGTATCTTAGTTTTAGGATGTACCAAATCTGGTGCATCAAGTGGGTGTCCTGTACTTGAAACGGAAAAGATGCTGGTGTTCTGTAATCCATGCCGGTGTATCAAGCCTATGGAGCAGAAACTTATCTATGCCTAGTATGGTAGCAGTAAGCCTTGTTTTAAAAAAGTAATTACTAGCAATTAAGTCACAGAGGACCAGGAAAAATATGATGTATCAATAAAATCGGTTCTTTAAATTATGGCAGTTGTTAATGTACCTAAAAGAGGGTGAGGCTGAGATCCCAGAGACATACTAAATGCAGCAGCAAGCATTAAGTGTGTGATTTCCCACTAAACTAAATGGAACCTCTGTGCCTAAAGACCTCTGATGATTTGGCCCTAGTGAGCTAGAAATAAACTTTTTTTCCTCTGTCTTTCCCTGTACATTTAATGACATCTTTCCAGGATGGCCTGCTTTGTATGATCACTTGGATTTTTGCAGTAGGAGCTTATTAGTGAGGAGAACAGAGAATTCAGAACGTGTGCCTATGCCCAACTCACTTGGAGATACACAAGCACCATGCTAGCTAGTGATATAAACTACCAAAACCATTTCTTAGCCTTTCATAGTTAACTCTTTGATGCCGAACAACAGGAAGGAATTTTCTTTAAACAGACTTTGAAACAACATGAAATGCTGACACAAAATTGTGTGACTGCAGGTGCAGTATCTGACTGCACTTTGAACTTTTGATTTTAAATGGCCAGGTTTTTAAAGGAGAAAAGTTTCTGTTGCCAAAAAAAAACAAAAAAAACACAAAACCCAAATCCAACCTCTGAGAATATCTAGTCTACATCTCTTTGCTGTCCTTAACATAAGACTTTATTCCTCTTTTATAAGAACAAGGACTATGATGACTAACAGTGCAACTTACCTTTTCCATGCACCATAATAGTTTCTCTATAGGTACTGGTCTCAAGGTAGCTTCAGGGCTTGAAGTATGAAGGGGGCCACTTTGAAATCTTTTGAACAGGAACCAGCTAAAGGGCAGGGTCTCTAACATGGTCTTGCCAGGTGGAATGAGGGTGCTGTATCAACGCCGGCGGTTGATTTCTTAGTGTTTACAGCTCTCTTCTGGGTGATTAATTAAGACTTTTGAATTTCATTACAAGCTGAGGAGAGAACTGAACTTTGGACTTGAACTTCCTGAACAGCCATTTCATCAGTAGGCTTTTACTGTTTTAAATTAAAAGGGGAGAGTGTGAGGGGGGACTTTTTCAGGTTGTCCTTTTGAGGATCCTGAGGCTGTTTTGTGCCAGGTTGGCTGGATTTAAATGTTTGGAGGGCAATGAAATATCACCTGTTTTCTGAATTTTTCCTGGGTTTTGATGTGACTGCTGGTGCTTGTAAAGACAGTTGCTTTCCTGATAGTAGACAGAGGAACACTGTTAGGGCTTCCGCGTGAAACTTGAGTAGGTTTGTGGGATCATGGGCAACTCCTGAGTTTATGTATAAAGTTGCAGTTTTGGATCTCAATTCCTTTGGTCTGCCCAAAATCTTCAGGATGAACCTGATAGTCTTTTCTACTGAAAAAGAAGTAGAAAGAGCCTTTTCTACTGTTTTTCTATCTCTGCACAGTTTTTTAGGTTTTTCATCTTTGTTAGTAATAACCTTTTTTTTTTTTTGGTACTTTTGCTAAAAGAGCAGAGCTTTCTGGTTTTGCTTGAAAAGCCAGTTGTCTTATATTTTTATCTGTTACATTGCTTCATTTTGCTCAAATGAAGCTGGCTAAATTTTCTATATATATGGGAAAATAGCACTCTTCTACTGAGGCAGAATGTACAGATCACTGAAAAATGGTGCAGGAAGAGGTCTCAAAAGCATTTAACTCATGCACCTGATCTGAAGAGAGCTGCATATGACTCCCTTTTGTAGGGAGTTCTGTTTTTTTTTTATGTTGTTTGCATACTACTCAGCTGGGAAGTGTTTGTGCCTCTTGAAATAAGACCAGTGTGAGATTGGAAGGATGGCAGACTTGGGGAATGTGGTGAGAATATCTGGTGTGGAGAGGCTGAGATCTTAAGCTTGCCCCCTTTGGACAGCTGACATCGTAGAACATTTGGTGTTTGAAAGCTAAACTTCTCAGAAAAAAGAATGTCAAAAATAAAGTTCTCTTGGGCATGGAGAAAGTAGGGCTGTTTTTGTAACCCACAAAGGGAATACCAGAGGCAAAATTCAGAGATGACACAAAATGTCTTGGCTGCAAAGAAAACTTAAAGTCATTGTTATCTGTAAGGTCTTTCATAGAGAATCTGATCTTTCTAGTAAGCTGATAATTTTAAAATCTAATTCTTCCAAGCGTTATAGCTCCAAAACGTGAACATAATCTTTTTCATAATTTCTTAAAATTATAAAAACAAAACTTGACGCTCTCTGCCTCCTACAAAGATGTGTCAAACTAATCTTAAACTATTGGCCATATAGGAACAGACTTCAGTTGCTATAACAAACATGTTGACTGCTGTAGAAGAACCTGATCTTATCTTTGACTGCTTGAAGATTGAATGTATCTACAAATGTCTCTTTAGCCCTTATAGCTTCTGCCTTCTCACTGTCTGGGTATTAGATAACCTTGTGTACTATTTTAATCTGTTTAATCTGTTCTAATCCTTAATCCTAATAAAAGCCTACACTTAGTGCCTTTTACTACCTTATTATTCCTGCTCTTTCACTTAGAGTCTTAACGTATCTGATGGCTTCAAGCAGTATCTGTGCAGTCTGACACCATACTGTAAGTTTGGGAGCCAATGCAGCAGTGACTCTGAAGTTGAGAGTTCAGAGTTTGCCCTCCTGTAGATAAGGTGTGGATTTCCTCAAAGCTTCCTGATCCAGCAATAGAAAGCACCAGCTGAAAAGCAAACACCAACTTCCTCTTATGCCTGTTGTGCCATTTGTCCTATGTTTAATAGTTCTTGCTGGTTCAAATACAAAATTATTCATTATTTCATAGAATCACAGAATGGTCTGTGTTGGAAGGGACCTTAAAGCTCATCTGTTTCCAGCCCCCCTGCCATGGGCAGGGACAACTTCCACTAGATCAGGTTGCTCAAAACTCCGTCCAACCTGGCCTTGAACACTGTCGGGGATGGGGCTTCTCTGGGGAACCTGTGCCAGTGTCTCACCACCCTCACAGTGAAGAACTTCTTCCTCATCTAACCTAAATCTACTCTCCTTCAGTTTAAAGCTGTTCCCCCTTGTCGTATCCCTACATGCTCTTGTAAAAAGCCATTCTCCACCTTTCTTGTAGCTCCCTTTAGGTACTGGAGGGTTGCTGTATGTGGATGTACTTTACCATCGCAGCCCTCTTTTATAGTAATTCATTTAAACTTGTATCTTGGCAGAACTAAGAAGAGCTGCTTATTTTTCACCTGCATCATACAAGCAGAATTGCATCTCTGTAGCTCCTGTATGGTTTGTTCTCCATAATAACAGCAGCCTGAATTCCTGTCATTCCTATTAGCTTCAGATTGCACATAACACTACAGTGCTTGTTTTGATTGTGTTTTGTTGCTGAGATATGAAGAATCTGTGGTAGCACTGTAATAGTGGAGGTTAGTTCTCTGTGTACTACTTACACGCAGGTGTACTTCATATCAAGTACTGTACTGCATGAAATGGCAATTGCAGCTTCTCTAATTCTGCTACCTGGCTTCCTGAAGCCATAGAATCATGGTATGGTTTGGGTTGGAAGGGACCTTGAGTATCATTAAAAGATCCTTTAAGAGAGTGGATAAGGCACTGGCAAAGGTTGTCCAGAGAAGCTGTGGCTGCCCCATCCCTGGAAGTGTTCAAGGCCAGGTTGGATGGGGCTTTGAGCAGCCTGGTCTAGTGGAAAGTGTCCCTGCCCATGTCAGGTGGCCTGGAAATAGATGGTCTTAAAGTCCCTTCCAACCCAACAGATTCTGTTATTTTTATGATCATTTTACTTTCAACCCTCTGCCATAAGGAGGAAAACCCCCTGGTACACTTTGGTTTATAGTAACCTCATCGGAGAATTTGTCTTTTGTACTTCCATTCACATTAACCACTGGGTATTTAATGCTCTGAATACTTAAAGCATGTTACACATTTGAAATTATTTGGACAAAATTTAGTAAGATCTATGTGCTGTAAATGCATATTCATATATGCATTTGCATGTACATATATGTATGTATAAATGTATATCTAGATAGATACATGTCCGTTTTGCAGCTCAACCTGACAATTTCAGGTTATCTGGAATCATCAAGATTTCTTCATAATCCAAGTACAGAAAAGGTGCTAGAGCTTTATTCAGTTAACCTGCGGAATTGGTTTGTTGCTTCCAAGTCCATAGTGAGTAAGAATCTCTACAGCAGAATTCCATGACTATAAAGTTAAATTGAGCAAATGCTCATATTTACTTT